AACCTGATAACTTTAGCAAAAGAATGCGAAGTTGTAGACTTGAGGATGGGGAAAAAATGGCAAAGTTCAGAAATCAGTAGGACTTGCAGATGATTCTTTGCTTTTACATGTACATGCTACCATTTCACTTTTAACTGTGTCTAGTTCGTGGCTGTTGCTGTGATATGTTTCCCTTGAGCTGTAGGACTCTGCTGCTGCAGAGGAAAAATGCATTGTAAATGCAGATGAGCTAGAGTAAAATAAAAATAATAATCATACTGGATTATATGAAGTACGTACTAGTTTTTTGTAGCCTGATGGCACCTGTAAAAACCTTGGACGGGGTTGGAGTGGTACTTTGCTCAAACAAATGCTGTGCCTGATTCTTAACATTTTTTTATATCTGCTGACAGTAGTGACAGAGGTTGGTAATATATGTCTCAGAAGCTTAAATGCTGCTCTGGAAAGCATTGGAAGAGTATTATAGACCTCAGTTTCCCAGTAAAAGAAATGCCATCCTGTGCGATACACTGGTGCTGCATTATTTGGTGATCAGGGTCTCTTACTGTCCTAACTGGCCTTTCCTCTCAGGCTTACACTTGAGCTGAAGTTGGTTAATCTAAAAGTGTATCTTGACACTTGAAGCAGTCTGTGGCTTTATTGCCTTTTGTGCTTTTACATCTTCTTTTAGCGCGACTTAGACCACTGGTCCAGGCTGCATTTGTAAGACTTCCTGCAGCACTGGTGGGCTTTTCAAGCAGTATCCGTGGGAAGTCCAAAGCACGACAGAAAACTATTTATTGAGACTTTTGGTGCAGATAGGGGATACAACAGCAGATGATAGTGTATTCACATAATAATCACTATGTTCTGGTGTGTATAGGTGCTCGTGGTCCTTTGACAGCATTTCTGATCCCTTGCATCCACGGCTAGGACAATATCCTCAGCAGGTTCCTTATGTTGGCTAGCTGGTGGTCCCTCAAGGCAAACAGTTTGTGTGTGGTTAGCTTTTAAGTAGCCAGCTGCAAGACTGGAGATAACCAGACCATGCGATGCTGGAGTTAGTGCTGATCATCAGTAGTGTGTTATTTTTCTTGCATGTTTTCCCTGAGTACTGGAGGATAAGAATTATTCATTATGATGGCCAGGTGAGTGCTCCTAATGTGCTTAGGTGGCTTCCAAGGGGCATGGAAAAAGATACCATTAGAAATCAAACTATTTTCACGATATTCTGTCTGTCTGCAAGGGCTATATGTATATAAGAACTTCTAGCTTGTCGGGCTGCAGAAGGACTGAGTCAGAGGCTTCAGTTGTATTAAATTTCTAGACCCAGTTAGAACACATTTAAAGTTTTTACCTATTTTTGAACCAAGTTAATGCCCACTTCTGTATTATCATCTTGTAGCTCTCTACATTTGGGTAGCCTCTATATTCATATAGAGGAAGAAGTGACTTTGAGGAAATGATCCCCAGAACAATATCTAAGCTCTTTAGACAATGACCACATAGTTTCCTTCTTGTGCCTGACAGTTCTCCAGACCAATTGTAGTTTAGGGCTGGACCAGCCACTGAATGCTGGACAGATGCTCTCTGTTAACCCCTCTCCCTTCCCCAGAAGAGAAAAGAGAATAAGAGAGAGAGATTTTACAGGTTGGAAAATAAAACTAACACATTTAATAAAACAATAATACTGATACTACAGGATATTAATGTAAATAGGAAAATAATGAAATATATACAGATATGTGCAAATATATATACAAAACCAGTATAAAATCCTCCCCCCAATGACGATTACATCACCAGAGGCTCTGCAGAGCAGGGCACTGGAAAAAGTCCCAGACCAAATTCAGCAGCAGTGGGAGCTGATGCAGGAACACAGGGATCAGGATCAGAGGCAGACGAACCAGCAGGGTTCTGCTCAGACCTCGGCCGTTGCGGGATTGAGACGGACGGAAGGGTCCGAGCTGGAAGGGCTCCAAGATGGAAGAAGGGTCGAGACCCTCGTGGTCCCTCGGCTTTTATACCGAGTATGACCTATGTGGGATGGAATACCTTGTTGGTCAGGTTTGGGTCTGCTTCTCCCCCTGCCCCGTAGGTGCAGACATGACACCCATGGTGAGACAACTGACCTTGAACTTATCTTCCAGCAGCGCTGTCTGGGAAGAACATCCTGCTAGTGCAAGTTCAGGCACTTGAAAGAGACTGAGCTGAAAGGTAAAGTCACTAAATAGAAAATCAGTTCTATTTAGCTCAAACCAGGACACCAATGAAGGCACTTTCAAGGCCCGCTGTATTTTGATTAACATTTTAATACACGGAGACTTGGACAAGGGTATGCACGTCCCTATGTGGAAGAGGCTTATTGTAGAAAGATAAGCAGCGCACTTATAAAGAGGTGTTTTGTGTCTTAATCCTAGCATCATCCTCAGTTGGGCTTTGAAGCCTGTTATGGTAGGGCTTGAAACACTTGGCTTCTGATGTCTGTGGTGCTACTTAGGCATATCAAAGAGGGACCTATCAACTGAAATATGACTATTGGAGTCCCTGTTTCTGCTCTCTATGGAGCAGAAAGCTCCATAAATAAACAGCAAGTGTGTGCTTATGCTAGAAGAGCACAAAAAAGGAGCTGTCTGCAGAAGTTAGAATTTTTGCTGTGCAGTTACAAGGGAATTAAAGAGTGTTTCTGCATTCTCGGCATCAGAACCATGATGACATCCAAGGTGTTTTTGAGTCCTTCTCTGACAGTAACAAAGCACCATAGCAGAATGCTCCCTTCTCTTTCTGCCCTGAAGTAGCCTTTGCTAGTGGCTGTGTTCCACAGATGTCCTTGACAGCATTGGCAGAGAAATTGGGCACTTTCCCTGTGTGCTGGGGGAGGGTTTTATTGTTCAGAGTGTACAGGGAAGTTCCCCTTGCTGCTGCTTTTGCCGTATGTAGGCTTGGTGTAAATGGAAGTTGTTGTTCTGGGACTCTTGAGCTGACAGCTTTTATTAAGGTCAGTGTTTTGAGATGTCTGAAATTGAGCAACTAACTCGCGATGCTGGCATCGGATGAAGAGGTCTGGTTCCTCCATCCTGAACTGCTGAAGTGAAGGGAGTCCCTGGAAACCTCTGAAAATCAACTTTGTTTTGATACACAACTCTTAAGTCTGAATGGTTTTAGTTTTTAGCTTTTGCACAAAATGAGGGACAGGAAAAAGAATTTCATTCATGTTTATAAATTTGTAAAGGGTGAGTGTCAGGAGGAAGGAGCTAGGCTCTGCTCTCTGATGTCCAATGACAGGACAAGGGGCAATGGTCCCAAGCTGGAGCATAGGAGGTTCCATGTGAACATGTGGAAAAACTTTTTTACTGTGAGGGTGACAGAGCACGGCCCAGGCTGCCCAGAGAGGTTGTGGAGTCTCCTTCTCTGGAGACATTCGAAACCAACCTGGACACGTTCCTATGTGACCTGGTCTGGTGATCCTGCTCTGGCAGGGGTTGGACTGGATGATCTTTCAAGGTCTCTTCCAACTCCTGTGATTCTGTGATTTCAGCAGGTCTTACATGGTTGGTGGTTTTACATGAAGGCCTTGATTTAAAAAAAACAACCCAGCAACCAAATGTAAAGCGCTCTGACCTCTTCATGCTCTTGGAACCTGCAGCATCATATCTAACCAACCTTGGTCAAGAATGAGATCCCTGAAAATGATATAAATATTCCAAATGTAGGTCATAAATACCACATGAAGTAATTGTGTCTATTGACATCCTTCCCACAAGGTATCCCCCCACAATAAAGTATGGTAATGGCATAAGACAAAACATTGGCTTCAAGGAAGTGACTGTGCCTGCACAACGATTGAACTTTGTTTTGGTCTGGGATTGAGACAGAGATTAACTTCCAAGCTTTGCATTTTCTCAGGCATACAGCCTGTCCATATGGCAGATAATTGTGGTTTTAAAAATCCATATCCACTTTTCTTTCCAACTTCACTATAAAATACTGAATCCTGATGGGCTTTTAAAAGTGGAAGAGATCAAATATGTACAAAATATTTCAACATACCAAGTGTGGGAGGGTGTCAAGTCTGTAGCTTTAGTGCTGATTAGTGATTCAATTAGTGTGAAGTGTATTTGCAAACACTTTACTTGCTGCCTGTGAGAAATGAATTGACAGTCCTAGGCTCTAGGAATTGGAAGTGAGGAGTAATACTTACTAATATTTTCATACCCCATAGATGAGAAGTGGAGTAGTTGCCTTCCTAGTAAGTTCTTATATGCACAGAGGTAAAAGTCTTTATAAATACCATCCTTGGCTTTCAACCCAAAACCAGACTGGGCAATGAATGAAAATGCTTGGAAATAACATTGCTGCTTCCAGTAAGAGGGCAGTGAAAGAATGAGAGAGAAGTAAAGCAGAAAGTCTAGGTAAGGGAGAAAACCTTTTTTCACCTGAGAGATTTGAGAAGGAGAGCAAACGGAGTTAGAGAGAGCGCATTGTCCAGATCTATGTGGACGGGCTCTTGCATCCTGACAGGGATGCTAATGCTAGGATCCTGAGATGACTATATGCCGGAGGGGAGAGGTTTGCATGATGCTGTGCTCATGGTTGGTGTTGATACTGGAGTAAGTCAAATCTGTTGTCTTGGACACAGTGCTTCTCTGGCTTGGATTTGCAAATCCAAGGCTGTGTTGTTGACATTCTGGCAGTGAGTTGGCTGGCTTTTTGCTGGATGGATGCCATTCTGCTCCCAGCTGGCTGGTAGGCCAGGTGTTAACTTATCTAGTAGTGTGTTGTTCGGCAGTGAAGAACAAGGTATACTGTTTGTCTGGAACTCTGGTTGTGTTTTGGGGTGATCCTGAAGTAGGGCAGCTGCAGTATGGAAACACCAGACTGAATGAGACAAAAAGGAATAGTTTTCCCTTGCTGTCCCCATCTTCTCTCCAGGAAATCCAGTTCTGTAGCCAGTTTTCCATGTCTTCAGTAGGTTCCGTGTAACAGCACGCAGGACCAGGTGGCAAAAGCAAGAAGGCAGGATGTTGTCAAGACCAAAGCCTGGCGAGTCCGAGGCAGACCTGCTGCACTTCCAAAATGAGTTCCTGGCAGCCAGAGCTTCACCTGCAGTGAAGATTGTGAAGAAAGCAGACAAGAGGAAGGGGGAGGAAGGGAGCACAGATGCTGAGAGACCCCCACTGCAGGACCACAAGGATGTGGTCATGTTGGATGGTAATTTTCCTTGTGGAGTTCTTTGAGTTACTAGGTGCATCTGTCCCTTTCAGTGTTCCTCAGTGCTTCCCCTTTCACCTCTCTCTTAACCCAATGTTGCTTTTGCCCTGCATGTGTGTCCTCCTTGCTGTATTGGTTTTTTCGTAGTCTTGTTGGAAAACACACTTGTCCAATGTTACTAGCATCCAGGAGAACCCCCTTTCCAACATACTGTCTTTGTCTGCATTTATCATCTGTCTGTGGTATCTTGCTGACCTCAACGCAAGAGATGTTTTCTGTGATTTGTACCCATTGGACACAGTGCTTATTTTGCCATCTATCCAGACTCTGTTCTCAATGTCTTTGAGGTTTAGCTCTGCTAACAGCTTGGTTTCAGGTAATGAAATATGGTCCCAGTTTATAGATAGTGAAAAGGTAGCTTTGACTTGCTCATTATCATACAAATAGCTCACTGTTAGAGCTTGCACTGGGAATGTGCTTTTCTGTACCTGAACACAACCTGCAGGGACACTGTTTCTGCACAGCCTTGCTTCTGTTAATACTTGCTGTCAGGCCTCAGTACCCTTTCTTCCCTATGCAGCTCTTTAGAAAGACTTTGGTGCCAATAAACAAACAGTAAAATTCCTGAGCATGTTTCTCTGCTACGCAGTGCAAGTCAGAGACAGAACTCTTAATTGTTTCATTGCTTCCTCATCTTTGTCGTTTTTCATCAAAGCAATAACAGGTGCTATTAGGGAGCCTTAGGTCTAGTACCCATTGCACAGTATTTATTTGAGTAACTTGGCTGCTTTTTTCCTTATTATTTCTGCTCCCTAGATTTTCCCGATACTCTCCCAGCTTTAACTCCAGTTCCTCCAAAGAAGTCCAAGATCAAAAGTGCATGTGTCCACTTTGAGGATGAAGATCCAGAGGAAAGACTGGAGAGTCATGATCAACACATTACAGCGGTCTTCAGTAAAATTATTGTATGTCTGTTTTTTATGTGATGGTCTAGTTTTTAGTTTATGCTGTGAACTAAGCAGTGAACAGGGATGAGAGGTTCTGTTGCTGCTTTTTGTTTCTATAGTGTAATGAAGCAGTTGTAACACTTTAGACCAATGTTCTGGAGCACCTTAAAAGAAAAAGCTCTTTGGGTATATTTTTGCTGTCAGTTAAATGTGGGTTTGAATCTGATTTCCAGTCCAGACTGCCTACAGATCACACTGCTTGCATGCAGGCATATGCTCTAGTGTGGATTTGGGTGAGTTTCTCATCTTCCTAAGGGAGATGTTCTCATTGCTCTGCACTGGCCTAGGTTTTCCTTTGTCTGATTCTTTGAGTGATGTGTGGAGTTTGGCAGCCCAGCGTTTTGGAAAATGGCCTCACTTTAGTTCTAAATAAGCACAAAGTACTCTAAGCCTGACAGTGATGTAGCAGAAATCTTGTGAGCTGCAGAGCTGAGAGGTTTTGATTAGAGTCTACACTTAGCTAAATAGTATAAACATGTCTGGCTGTTGCAATGGTTTCTACAGGGTTTGTAGTTTTTGTTGCAGGAACGAGACACGAGTGCTGTAGCAGTGACCATGCCAGTGCCCACGGGAGACCCGTTTCCAAGAACGTTTCACCGCTCTGAGATAGCAAGTGAGGTAAGATTTGAAGCAGCTGTTTTATGCTATCTTCATTAGCTATTAAAACTTCCCCACAACAAAGCCTAGTGCTTGGTGGGTCAAGGCTCAAGATAAGTGACTTAAAATGCTGGAGATTAGGAGCTGGGTCAGCATATCCCTGGCATTACCACCTTAGTGTAGGACAGAGTTCTCCTACCAAGCTGCCATCAGGTAGGCAGTTCATACCCTGCAGTCAAATAGCATTGTAATCCTTTTGGTTTAGGTAAAAAGGCAATCACCTTCTTCAGTGAAGTGGACCAAATCTGTTCTGTTTGTAAAAGGATCAGTACTGTTCTGCTTGTTTTTTCTCTGAGGAGCAATCTCCGTTAATTTGTCCACCAGATACGATCAAGTCTGTACTTACTGAAGTTGTACCTGATTCTTCCTGGCATGATATTTGAGCACAGTTACACAGATTATCTTTTGCAGCTTTTTGGATTTTGACATAATTTCTGAGGCTGTAAAGCTGGAAGCCATGGCTGCTGTCAGCAGTTGCTGTAGTAGCAAGAACTGCTAGCTGAGTGGGAGTCAAATGTTGGGAATTGGTACGTGATTGATAGCTGTAGTTGCTTTGAAGAGGCAACTTATTTGCAAGCTTATTTTGAAGGACAACTTTTTTGAAAGAGTAATACTTCTCAAGCTACTGGTTCTGTTTACTTGACACAGGAGTGCACAAAGCAGCTACCAGATGTTCAGACTGCCTTTTAAGCTTCTTCTCTGGACTGAAGATATGCGAGTGCTTTTTTGCTTAGTTTGTGTTGAATTTCCTGTGCATCCTGTGCAAGGCTGTTTAGACCCCTACCTTTCCATCGTCTACCTTGCCATCCAGGCAAGCAGCACAGTAATCGAGTCAGGATTATTTTAGAACCAATTGCCCACTTCTTACTGTGTAAATCTCTTCACCCTGCTGCTCTCTAATCACCTTATAAGAAGCCTGTTCCAAGCATGTGGTGAGCACAGTACAGCACAGCCCCATTTATCCTCAGAAATGCAAAGTATTCAGCTATGCAAGGTTTCCAAACAGCAGGAAAGTTGGAACTGTTGTGGTTGGTGATATTTTAGGTGTACTTGCCTGGCTTGAATTCACTTATAATTAATCATCTTCCTTCTCTAGGTAGCAAAAACACTCATGTTTTTGTCTCTCTGTCCTAGCATTATACTGTGTGTTACAAAAAAGGAACAGCATACGCACAGAAGAGGGCAGGTGGCTGCCAGCAGCTTCTCTGTGTCATGTCCCAAAGTTGGATCTGAGGGTGTCTTTAGGATCAGATCTATACGTTCGTTAGTGGCAGGTGTGCGGAGGAGGCAGGTGGTGACACATGGCTTCCCTGTTTGCAGGTGAAGGTGGGGTCTGGAAGAAAAAGCATCTTTGCACAGAAGATGGCAGCAAGAAGAGCTGCTGAAAAGGCAGCAACCACTCCCTCTGCTGCTGAGTGTGTGCAGATAAGGTCGACTGCTCCAGATGCCCTGCATCCCGAGGGATCAGCACCTCCCCCTGGCATCAGGGATGGTAAGTGGGGAAAGTTTGGCTTATCCAGCCTAGTGTATTTACCTAGCCTTAGTAACCATAGCATCAGTGCACCTTATTTGTGAATTAAGGTAGCACTGTTGTCCACAGTTTAGGAATCTTGGGGTCACTTGGAATGTCTGTGGCATGACAAGGATTTGAAATGGTCTGAGACCCAAATTAACATTCTAAAATGAGGTCAGCTTTCTTACTGATTTCCTTTTTGCCTTACAATGGGCCAAATAGGTTTATTTTTCAAGATTTTTGTGCTCCTTTTCCTCTCTGTTTATGTGTAAAGTTTTTTTGTTTCATCATTGATTTCCACAGTTTTAGTAATAGAGTTCTTCTTGTGTCCGATGACGGTGTTTGAGACCGCTGTGATGCATGTTCACACTTCTACCTAGAAGCTGAAAGCTCAGTCCTCCGTCACAAGATCCGCTGCCATGAGACTGCAGCTTTGCTCTGTGAGGCAGTGCTGATGAGTCAGTGCCACCTCCAGCAGTTGCTTATCTGACAGCAATGTGACAAGGAAAGATGAAACCAACTCAGAAACCAATTCAACTGGTACCAGCATCTCCAGGCTTTTTGTTGCTGTAGTTATTTTGTTTTGGGTTTTTTTCAGTCTTGGTCAGTCCAGGACCACCACATGTCTGGGTTTTTCCCTCACACCTTATTTTTTCACATTGAAATAGAGGCCAGATGTCATTTGAGGGTTATCACCAACTGGCTAAGGTTTGTGTCTGCCCTGACCTGTGTCAGAGAACTGGTAAGAGAACCCCCAGGTGTGGTGTGCAGTGCATGCAAGAAATATCAGAGGGAGATACAGCAGCCTTATAGCTGTGATCCTCTTGAAGTAGAATGCTTCTAAAATACAGTAGCACAACAGAGGGATCAGAAAATGGCTTGGCATCCTCAGCAATATTGTTGTAGCAGGACCACTTGAAGCAAGAGGAGGAGAGGGGGACCTCCATTTCTTGTGGTAACAAAATATTTGTGCCTGGTAACTCACAGCTTAGTTGCTGATAGTGGGAAGCTCACTGAATCTTCTGCCAGGTCACTCTGGCTTTTCATCTCGTTCTGCTCAAAATGCAAGACGAGTGCTTTGGAAATGACATCAAACCTTACTGATGTTACGATGTTATCATTACTGCTGTATGTGCAGGGGTTTGATGATTTCAGGATTGACTGGTTTAGGATCATAGGGATGTTCCAAGTCGCTAAGGAATAAAGCCACTAAGTCAGGTGGGCTACAAGACGGCTGGAGGGTCTCACTTTGACCAAAGGAGCACGTTACCCTGCTGCTAGAGTAAATGAAATGAGCCCTTTTTTAAAGGATTTAGGTCAGGTGATGAAGACGACTTGATTCTGTTCAGAGTAGGAAAAATGCACTCCTGCTGGAGCTTCTAATATGTTTAATCCTTAAAGGTGAAGACAGGACATTGCTAGAAGCGAATATGTCTGTGCTGAGAATGGATCCTGTATCACTCCAGAAGCTGGTTTACCTAATAATTTTAATTCTCTGTCTCACTCAACAGCTATTTACTAGGTTTCAGCTGACATACAAATGTAGGTTCAGGTCCTCTTGGGCAGAGGAAGAATGTAGTCTAGTGTTTGCTAATGGGGAAGAATGCTCTGACTCAGCAGTTGTGAATTACGCTTCAGTTTACCTTTTCTTGTTGTTACTTTGCATTAAAGAAACCAGTTTGCTTTTACCCCATCCTTCCGCAGACCCCTAAAGAAACAAGGTGGAAATAATGTTTTGTTGTGACATGGGATGAAAGCCCAAATATTTTAGTTTTGTTTGATGCTAAACTAAACTTCTTTACTCATATTTTAACTTGGCTACCGAGGTAAAAAAGGAAGAAATTACGCAAGCCTGGTAGTGGAAGAAATTGAGATGCATTCATAATGCTGTAGACTCTTGAATCACTAACTGCTTTGTCTGCTGGATCTTATAGATAAAGCTGATGACTTCTTGACCTCTCAACGGCCTCGTCTCATAACAGGAGAGGGTCTTGGAATCCAAAAGAGTGAGCAGGAGGCTCAAGCTATTCACAAAGAGAACTTGGATAAACTGCAGTCCATGTCTGAGGAGGAGATCCTGCAGGAGCAGGAAAAGCTGCTGGCACAGCTGGGTATGTGCTTCCCAGGGTGAATTCTAGAGATGTGAAAGTTTGCTGAATGTGTAGGTGTCCTGAACTCTTACCAAATTCACAGACCTAAGATGGAAGCTTGGGATTTCTGCTCTTTGCGTATGTGGATAATCCAGCTTTCATGTCTTGTCAGTAGCTTATGAGTAAGAATTAAGTGTGAAGGAATTAAAGAGTTTATTCCTCAGTGAGAGGGGGCTTAGCTTAAGTCTGTCTTGTTTCCCCTTCGCTGTGGGATAAGATGGTCCATGAACGCTGTTAGTTTGCACACCAAATACCTGTTTACGTATACATGTATTGAGGCCCTAAAATGTAATTCCCTGAAGCAGGTAAGAAAGCTATTCTTAGGATGGCTGTAGCAATGCTGAGGTGAGAGAGAGCCCTTGGTCTTCTCCTCCAAAATACCTAAGACTTTGGGCAGAACTGTCAGTACCCAGGCAGGGAAAATGTGTGGGCATGTGGGAGATTTCAAGTTGAATCTCTACTTGGTAGAGCAGAAAAACTTAGAACTAGTCTTGAATTCTTGAGAAAGTGTTTTTAATTATCTGCCTGTTGAGTGAAGGTGTTCTGGCAGGGGTCTGGTCTCTGGTTTGGAGCCACAGTGATGCTCTGGGAATGCCTGTCACTGACAGCTGATGGCAAGATGGGGGCCAACACTGAGTGTGATATGTTTAAGACTTCATGTGATCTAGGGCACTAGAGAACTTTTTGGCATTGGTTTCACTGATTTTTGTATGCTCAAGAAGAGTAGGCCCAACAGATGTAGGTGGCAGACAAGGGTTTTTGAAATTCTCATAATTTCAGATTCTCTAGCATGACATTTAGGTGTGAGTGGCATTTTAGACGTTAAGTCTTGTGGGTTTAGCTTAAAGATCATACTAATGATCTTGACTTCATTGCAAGCAGCATGGGTATAACTGAAAAGGTGACAAAGGAACTGCAAAATAATTGTAGACAGAATGTATCGTTACATCCTTCATTCATAGAGCTGAGCTCTGCAAACCACCTGAGGTGAAAAGAATATATATATTTCTTTTTAACTTCACTGCTTATAACAGTGGCATGTGTATGAAAAATACCTTGTTTATGCACTTTATTCCTGTGAATGATTTGTGATCTTTGTTCCTTGTCCCCACTACTCTGTCCTTGGGGATATTGGTGAAGTGAATACTTAGGGTGTTTAAAAAGGATAGGATGTCTTTTAAGTATTTTTGAAAAGAAATTATTTTCTAAACCAATGTATTTGTTTATATGCTCTGTGGGTTAAAATTGTAGCTCTTTCAGTCTTTGAGACCTTAAGGAAACTAGGAATAATTTTGGCATTCCCAAAATATCAGTGGTTAGGGAATTATGCACAATGAAGCAACTCCTAAACTAAATTGCATGCTTATAGTTGAACTTGGGAACTGGGCAGGCACAGAGATGTGGATTAAGGAGACTTTCTCTCCATATTCAGGAGTGTGAATAATTTGTGGGTGTTTAATGCTGCCCAGTCTCTGAATTAACCTATTAGTTATGAAGCAGATGAGACTCCATCGTGGTGAGTATGAGGATGGGCAGCTGATTCCACACTAGGCAGTGTCTTAAGGGCCTTATTGTAGATACTGTTCTGGTTTTGCCCATGGAGACTCTGGGTAGAGGTAGGCTTATTTTCTGACGTACCGTGCACAGGTTCACATAATCAGTGACTTGTTTGTCACTGTTTATTCATAATTTCATCATTTCACACAGTCTTTTCCTTGCTGTGTACAGTGAAGTCTGAGAAAGTGAGAGCTCTGCATGCAGGAAAAAATGTGTGCTTTAATGAGACTGAGCTCCCCCTTCTCCAGGGGAGGCGTAAATGCATCATGAGGAGAATGTGCAGCAATCACCAGTGTGGGATAGATCTCTGCATCCTCTTTGAACTGTTGCAGAGACGTGAGAGTCGTTTCCTTTTTGGGATTACTTCTCTCAGATACAGGGCATTTCTGAATCATTTGGCCTTTGTCCTCCAGAGAATGAATAACTAATGTAGATGTTATATTCTTTACTGCAGCAAGCAGTGTCAAAGATGTATGAAGTATCTCTGTACTTTTTAGAGGTACAAGGCATAGGGTCTTAATGTTCACCTCTGACATAAGCATCTCAACACTACTTTCTAGATGAAGAGTATTCAGAGACAAAGTGAGCTCCATCAAAAAAGTGGGATATCTGTAGCAGATCCAAAAGTAAAACAGTGATCTTATGACATTTTCCTGTTTTAGAGCCACAGTAGTATTATCTGTCCTTCAAAACGCTCCTGCCTCCCAAGTGTTCCTCTTCTCCAAAGCATGAAGAGAATGGCCACATCTGCTTTCTGGGTGTTGTCAGGCTGTTGGGATGGGGAGTCAGTTTAGAATGAACAAGATTTCCATCTCCTAACATAATATCTAGACCATGCACTGCTGTTTTAGTGCAATTCAATAAAGAGCAGGTAATTCTTTCTTTTTGTGGTGTCTGTTCCATGTATTCTGGTAGCGTTCAGGTTGATGCCACTGAGTGGCCCACAAAAAGGGTAGGAATACTGTCAGACCTGAGTTCCTCTCATAAATCACAGACTGGAATTCTCTTGCAATGAAGAGTCTTGTTTGGATGTACCTCTTCAGTGGCAGTTAGTTGGAAAGAAACAATTTTCTTTTTATTTGCAAGCTGGGAGAATAACAAGAATTTCTGTGGTTACTTCACCTTGAAAGACGTTTATCAGCTCTCTCTGTGGTGTTGCCTCACCAGTCAATTGTACCCAGCTTATGTGCTGAAGAGGTCATAAAGCAGTTAAGTGCCTTAGTTTGACAAGAAGTGATGATACATAAGAAGAGGGCATGTGGAATGAGAAGAAAGAGACTACAACATAAATAGCAGGAGCTATAGGCATGTCAACTATTTTGAGACTTTCTGTCACTTCTGTGTCTGTCTCTCTGTCAATACTTGCAGATTCGAGTTTAGTTGCTTTCTTAAAGTCACGACGTGGAGGCAGCGAAGGCCAGAAGAAGGAATTAAAAATGGAACAGAACAAACCGGAGGAGTTTGTGGAATCTCTGCCTGTGGCTCAGCATGGTGTAGGATCATCTCTTTCAATGCAGGAGCCAGGTCTGGAAGAATCTGTAGGGAAGGAAGGAAATATGAAGGTAGAAATCACAGGTAAGAAACATAGTGCATGTTGTTAATGTTCTGAACAAAAATTTAAGTTTTGTATGGTGTTTGCATTAATCCAGATTGGATTGATGTGACACGTGGTTCGTTAACCAACTCAGAATTTTATCATGATATTGAAAAAATACATGTATTTTGTGTTCAAGAAATGACATCTCTGTTATTTCTGGATGAGCTCCATAGATCAGAAGGATGATACACTATGTGACCAAGGTGAGACGTTCAGTGGGAGGTCTTGCTTTGGTTTTGAAATTTGTTCTCAGGTCTCTGAAGGGAAAATGTGTTTTAAGCAGTAGGCGTCATTGCTCTTCTGTTCAGGTGTGTGAACAGGAAAACCAAAGAGTGTGGTAGTGAGACTCAGATGCTGCTTGAATAATTTCTTTTAGGTGGGACTGGCTGGGGACAAGAGGGAGTTGAGTAGGTAAGAGTTAGTCATTCACTCACAGGATAACGTGGAGGTGGCAGTCAATCTCACTTCAGGGAAGTTGCTTATATAGCACATGTATGTCTTATCATGACACTGCTCCTGATGACCCCTCTCTGGTTTGTGTCTTGGAGCCCACAGGATACAGTTCTTTTGTGCTTTGGATGGAGGAAAGTATCAAGGTTAGAGTGTTCATCTGCTTCTTTGGAAGAATTGTGCAGAGCTGTTGCCTCTTATGACAAAATTCTTTAATACTCAATGTATGCTTCTATGAGGAGAAAGCTTCTTTAATCCCAGCAGCTAAGGCAACCCATATATTCTCATGGCAGAGAAAAGAAATGTTTTCCCCTTAAGCTTCTGTTCTTACCATTGCTTTCTTTGCTGCAGTTTTTTCTGTAGCCATTTCTTTGTTGTGGCTTTAAGCTCCCATTCTCATCTTCCCTGTGCATGTCTCACAGCGTGTCTTTCCCTTGTTGGCATGCTTCTCCTCAGTTTCCTGTTGATTTTTGGCTGTCTCCATCTCTTGATCCTCTCTTCCGATGTATTCTTCTTGTCCCATTGCAATGTGCAGACTGATTAAAGATGTCTCTGAATCACTCCTGGATTTCAGCATGGTGTTTGCAAGAGATAACAACCGTTTAGCATTTTCTTGACGAAAAGGAGATGAGTCTGTGAGTATGTGTGTACACGTGCAGGAAAAGGAAAGCTGATTAGCTTCTTATTGAGGAAAATACTTTACTAAACAGTCCTTTTGCTGTTTTTCCCCAAGTTTTACTTTTCCATGAATCCATCTTAATCAAAAGGACTATTTTTAGTTCTTTTTAGTTCCAGAACAATCAAGTGCACAAGTAGCGCCAGATTAAGTGACATTCTTTTATTCACCTAGGAGCAATTGAAGCTGGTTGTTCAGCCTGTAAAATCTAAACTAGATTGCAGCAGTGCTCTTGGGAATAGCTCAGTGTGCAGAGCGTTGTGTGCTGGCAATATCTTTTGCATCCTATGGAAGACTGCACAGGAAAGGAGAAGAGGAGATTTCCCAGGATATTTGAAATGAAGAAAGGATGAGCTGGGAAACAGTTATAAAACCAAGGGAAGCCTTTCTAGCACCTGAGTTTATGCTTGCAGTCTTTCTTGGCTAACAGGAGATGTAAAATATTAATTTGACATTAGCTTTTAGTGTTGGGATTTTGCATCTGTTCATGCTCAGAAGTAAACTCCTCATGAATAACCCATCAGAAATGGTCATTCTGAATTTTCCTAGGGAGAGGATGGTGACACATAGTAATGGGATTGCTCAAAAGTCAAACCTGCCTCTCTAATAAGATAAAAGGCTACTGTTTCTAATAAACAAGATGGTGAAGCCTTTATCCAGCAACTTGTAATCTTATCAAATGGAAAAGTAAATTCTAGCATCAAGATGAAAGTAGAAGCAAAGCGAAAGAGAAGAGGTTGGGTGGTAACCTTTAATGTAACCCAAGTCTGAAACAGTTCAGTAAAAATGTTGCATTGACACTGTCAACTTGTGTTTCTGTAAAGGGATTTCTCAGTAACTGAACAGTCTGCTGATGTCTTGGAATCTCTATCTGTATTTTCTTGTTGACAAGAACATAGTACTAAGGGCTGGTGGTAATATGCGTAATCCTATTCATAGAATGATTAACTCAACCCTATCAATTTAGTGATTAATGAAGAAAACAATTTGCTGAATTAAAAGTGCCAGTAGATTTCATTTTTCTGCTGACTTTATTTCCTCTAGTTTTGCACCTACCACCCACAAACATTCCACTTTCTTACATTTCAGATGCTTTTTCCTTCTCTTCAATTAAAATGCGTGCTGAGCCTTTGGCTGAAATTCTGTGGAATGGCTTTCTGGCTGGGTTCTGTGCCTAAGTCAGCACCACATTGATCGTAAGGGTGAAGCTTACTCCTGGAAAGGATGAGTGCCCTTCCTGAAAGTTTATCTGCTAATTAGAGGAAAGTAGAAGGTTAGATTTCAGGCCAGTATCAGCACGAAAAGATCTGATG